CGGCGGCGCCGCCGCGTGATGCCGGCGCCGAGGAGTGGAGCAGGAGGCGGCGCCGCCGGGCCCTGCGGGGACCCTTCTCCCCCGCTGATTTTCCTCACAGGAGGCTTTTGTACTCACTGGAAAGATGTCCATATTTTTGTAGAGATGTGGGAGCTTTTCCTGTGACAACAGCGTTTCCCTGGCAGGGCCTGGACCTGTGTGAATAGAAGGGACTCGATGCAAATATCGAAACTAATTTATTACTTTTATAAGCTAAACAGAGGCATTGCGAGGCCACCGGAGGGGTCTGAGCCGATCCCAGCTGGCCGTATCCCAGCCTTTCCCGAGGGCTTTGTAGCCCACCTCTGGAAGGCACTTGGCTTTCTAATATTGCAAAGAACCACTCGTTTTTCCCCCTTTGTTAACGGCGTTTTCAGCACCAAAGGAAAAACCAGTTCTGAGATGTGCTTTAAAAATAATATTTAAGCTGAGATCTCTTCCTGCGCTGCTGTGATCTTGGGGCCGGGGTCTTTGCCCTCCTGAGACATCGCAGGTCTTTGCTCTTCCCTTAATGCGTTTAATTCGCACCCAGTCCGGAAGGACCCTGGGGTTCTCCTGAGCCCAGAGGTGACACTGGAAGAGCCCTTAGACTTTAATGCCCCTTCCCAAGCTGAGCTTGCAGCCTTGCTCACCCTTCCCTTCCCTAAATCCCTTGAATCCCGCTCCACACAGCGCCGGGAAGCAGGACCAGCGCCGGCCGTGTTTCAGGATGAGTTCTCCGGCCACGGTTCCTAGTGGTTCAGCACCCAGTTTTCTTTCCTTTGCAAAACCTAAAGCAAGAAGAACCAAAAATTCCCCAGCAAAATGCCCCAAATAATAGTCGTCTAAGTTGTATATGAAGGTACCTCTGGTGTGTAGTTCGTATTGGCCATTAGGTAGGTGTAGCAAAGCTCTTTCAAAAAAAAAAAAAAAAAAAAAAGAATTTGAGCCTAATTTTATTTTTAGCAGCTGGCATTTTCCAGGTGCTGCAGGGCTGCTCCCAGCCCCACAGCTCTGCTCTGAGCCCCGCGGAGGCAGATTGCCATCAGCTTCGGTTCACATTTTCTTTGGAAAAGACAACATGGTCCACGTCTTCTAAGGAGGGTTCGTTGGAGAAGGGTCCAGCGGATTTCAGGGCATCAGTTTTTATTTTAGAGAAAGCAGGGAATCAGCGGTGACCAAATACTCTGCTGCCCAGCTCGCCCAGCTCCCGGGATCTTTCCCAAGGACCTGGAGCCGGTTGGAATAGCCTTGGCCGCTGGGTCATTTCAGTGACGTGAGGCAGATGTTACTGGGAGGCAGGAGGGCTCGGGGCGGCGCTTTGGCATTTCTTGTGCTGCAGTTTCCACCCACGCGTTCCTGGGACACACGGCTGCTGCGTATGGGTCTTCCCGAGCCTTAAGGAAAAGCCAGTTTCCAATGGAAAAAAACCCCTAGTGGGCCCCAATCTGTGTTTCTAAACCTCCCCCTTGTAATAATTTCTAAATTCCACCTCCGTTGTCCTGGTAGCTCTTTTCCTCTGAAGAAGTAAGGGCCAGCCTGGCATCCCCCCTCCTCCCCCTGTTTCTAACGTTTTCTATGATGTAAATGTTTACATTGGATAATGCATGTAGGGGCTTTCCCACCGGCGCTGTCCGGCTCGCAGCCGCGACCGCCCTTTCCCACGCCGC